GCAGGGGGAGAGCTTGTTTCTAAAACTATTACAAGCTTATAAAATAAGATTCGAGAGTATTTTTTTTCTTCTCTTAATGTTGGTGGCCACGCGCATTTAACTTATATTCTTAAAAGCTTTCCAGGAATGCTGGTGACTGCCATTGCAATGATTTCATTTGATTAAGAAGAATATTTTTGTGGTGGGATTTGATATTAGCAATATGACATGAGGTTCCCCAAAACACAATATATATAGCACTTGTGCTGCTTGAAATGAATACCCCTGCCTGGGTAATGTAATATGCTATTAGAGTAACCAGCCTTGGATGGTGGCAATAGAAATCATGACAGTACCTTAAGGATTCCTTTTATCAGCAACGTAGTATTTCCATGGAAGTCCTCATCTGAGGTTGTTCTCAGGGCAATCAGCAAGCGTTACTCTTTCAATGTCTGTAATACCTTGAAGCTGGACCACTGGTACTCTGTTCACAGGCTCAAAGCTCCAGAAGGAACACAGCACATCTTGGCAGCATTTCTGAGTAGCTGGAGGAAAAGCAAGCACATCCTTTATAGGTAGAGCAGCCAAATGAAATAGATGGCTGTTGGTACCTGATGGAAAAACGGGTATTCTTAATCAAGAAATTAGTTTTAATTTAGAGGACTGTGAGAGAGTCTTAGGGGTAGAAAATCAGCTTGAGAAAAAACTGGGTGAGGGCACCCAAGTTATTTCTATCTGTGCACTTAATGATTCTAGGAATGGATTAGATTTTAGAGCCAAAGAGAATTGTCTAGAATAATTTATCTCTCTGTTATTGCAAAAATAAATTAGTAAGTCAACGCCCCACTATTTATTGCTCCTTAACACACTGATAAAGAAACTACTGCCTATCATCGGAACCCAGACTCATCTATTATGAGGATTTTATTCAACCTGATTATTTATTGAGGCTTTTGTAGTAGAGTAAGCCAAGCGTGCCTTCCAAGTGGAGCTGCAAGGCACACAGGCAGGAAGAGTTAACTCTGTGGGCTGTTTCTTCTTTCTAGTAGGGGCACTTTAGCAATGCTAATCAGTGGTACTGATTTTCTGTTTTGATTTTTCCATAATAATTAAGTGAATGATCTGGAATGCAATCAAGTTTGGCACTAGGGGGTTCATGCAAATGACTCTTTATTTTTTTACATTTTTAATTTTATTAAATGGAATCATAAGGAAAGTTATTTGAAGATGAAGACTGGGTGGGTGAGGGTAGCTTAACACCCAATTTAGAGTTTTGAACATATTCAAAATATCTATTTTAATAAAGTGAATCACCAGTGTGTTGGCTTTGCTTTTGACTGCAATAATGCTATTTTTTAAAAAGTGTATTTTGTTTTCATTTGCACTCTAAAGGGGGAAATTATAGTATAACATAACATAACATAGAAAAATGAAGGGAAAAATATATTGCACTTTTTCTTCTTCAGAATAGGCACAAAAGAAAAAGGGTACCCACACTTAATCACCAAAACCGATAGTAGAAAACCAATAAAATGGGGAAAGAGTGTGTGTAATGACCTACCAATTTCTTGTTTGGGTTACATATCAGGGCCTTTATTAAACATGATGGAACAAAAGGGCAATTCATGTTTCTGAATATAGTGAAATGTTGCATTTCTATAGTTGTTTACAGCTTCCTGGCATATTTGGAAAATGTTTTCTCTACTCACTGCATATGACGTTCTTTTCTCAAATGGTTTTAACCAGCTTATGTGAGTTTATGTGATCCCTGCATCTTGATGTAGTAATTCTTTTTGCTTTTGACATTTTATTCTCTCATGTAGATTGTTCTAGAAAGTGCTTTGGGACTAAGAAACCAAGTAATATATGTACATCTGTATGTGTGTACATATATATATATATATGTACACACATTTATTTTTTAATGTATTGATATTTTCCCTTCCACAAACATCACCTGGAACTTCATAATGCAGTTTGATATTTCTGTATGCTGAACTTCAAAAGCAATGAGGAGGTGACCAAATTCTACTTTTTTTCCTGCCACCACCCCTCATCACAGGGCAGTGTATCAGGTGCAGAACAAGAAGAGAAATCGGAAGAGTAGTGTAAAATGTTTTACATTCAAAGAGAATACACAGCCTCTTTCTTTTTCTTGGCGGTTTGATTCATTGCTTGTGGCAATTTCTAACTTTACAGACTAAACATTTCTAATTGGTAAATGGATGGTTTAAGTCTGAGATGGTGACTCAGAAAATAAACTTTCCAATTTGGGGTAATTGTTTATGAGTAGATGACAGATTACTACTTACCAGCCTTCATTTTGTCTTTGAGGAAAGAATCAAAGTTAATATAGGTATTTCACACTTCATTGAAATGAAATACTTATCCCAACGTAGGTAAAGCAATGAGACAGAGAGATATTTGCCATGCTTATTTGTTACAACCAAATGTATTAAAGTTTTTTTTTTTTTTTGATGGATGGGAAAACACTACCTGTATACTACATGTCTTCAACTGTAAAACAGGGACAATAAAACTCCTTACTTCTTGAATAAGTTGCTGAGAGGGTGAAAGAGATAATTCATATAAAGAGTTCAATAATTTTGAACAGTACTCAGTCAGGAAATGTTAGCTATTATTGTTTATTATTATCATCGTCGTCGTCATTATTTTTTATTCATTCCTATTAAATGGAATAGCTTTTTATACAATGTTAAGCTTCAGATTTTATAACTTCATGATGGCTAACTTGTGAGAAATATCAATAATTTAAATTAATCCATGAGTCCTAGTTTATCTATTTATATATTATAATTATTTAGTGACTACTGAAATACCCTTTTTAAAGATTTCACAACCCCTCCTAATGGCTTACACTATCTTTTAACTATCCTACAAAGTCCTGATATTTTTTCCTTATTTCAAATCAAATATTTTCTTTTGTGTTAGCCTTTGTGGAATCAAAGATAGATACTTAAAATACCTGTTCTTCTAAACAATCTTGACCTTGAAGAATTTAATATTTTCTCGTTTGATCTGTCCTCTTCAATTTGAAAGGTAAACTATTCACTAAAGTTAGTTTTTTGCTGTTGTTGTTAATTTTTGTTTCTTTTAAGATTAAACATATCTTTTCTAACCACAAGGTTATTATTAAATGCATTTGGTTCATGGTGTGAAAATTAGTATAAGTTCTCAAAATGCCAGCTCTCACCCAGAACATAACTGCTTTTGGGCAAATAATCTGGCCCATTGTTAATAGTTTCACTAGTTGCTAACAGGCAGGTGTATATTTATGTTCTTTTTTTTTTTCCTTTTTGTCTTTTTTCGTGACCGGTAACGGGATCGCAACCCTTGGTGTCGCGCCCGCACCGCGCTCAACCAGTGAGCGGACCGGTCTCTATATGGGATCCGAACCCTCGGCGGGAGCGCCGCACTCTACTGAGTGCGCCACCGGGCCGGCCCTATTTATGTTCTTTTTAATTAGTAAATAGATCAGCTGTTTCTAGTTTCATGTCCACTTTTATAATAATTAGATGACATAGTGTGACAAACTTTTCCTTCTAAGTGCCGAGTTCCAGAAGGTGAAGAAATGTGTGTGATTCCTCAGTGCATGCCATTATAACCATTACCCATCCGTGCCTGATGCAGTGCCTGGCACATAGTAGGTGTTCAATAAATGCCTGCAGACAGCCTGACTGGAATATTTCATAGGAGCCTCAAACCTGACATAACTAAAACTGAACTCAAAGCTTCCGCCCCCCAGAAGAGGAGTGCTTCTGTGCTTCCCATCGCAATGAAGGGCTGACTAACCATCCCCACGAGGGGCTAAACCAGAAGTCCTTCCTCTCCCTCACTCCCACATTCAGTTACCAAGTCCTATCAGGTCTACCTCCTAAAAACCTCCAAGAGTGACTCCACTCCCTGCAACCCAACACTCCTTCTTTAGTTCACCCACAGTCATGTCTCACCTGGCCTCCCTGTACTCGTCTCCACCTTGCAGCCAGAGTCATCTTTCTAATATCACTCTGTACCTTCAGTAGCTCCCTGTTATCCTTGGATGGTGTTCTGATACTTTACAATGACATTGTGGTATACCCCCTATCTCTTTCTCCAGCTGTCCCCTTTCTCTTACTATGAATTAATTTGAGCTTCCTAAATGAACCTGGCCCTCTGTCACCCCCGGATCTGTCTGTCTGGAACATTCATCCTCTTCTTCTTCTGTCTCCTTTGCCAGCCTACCTGTTTTCCAAGCTTCTAGATATGTTGCTTTATGGTCTTCAGTTTCATTTTTTCTAACACTGGCCTCCAAACAACTTTATATTTTTTTCTATATATCTATTTTTTAAATCTATTTTATAGAAACCACCGTAAGATAGTTGGTGTCGTTTGTATTCAGCTGATGAAAAAAACTAAAGCAATACATTTAAGAAATTTGTGTCACAATCACTAAATTATAAGCACGTTAATGGGCAGAGATGGGGACTAGTTCTGTATGTCATATGCAGTTTTTGCATGGTGCCTAGGATCGAGTAGGCAACCAGTGCATGTGGGATGAATTATTGAATGAATCTGTTTGAGTCTGAGGTGCCTCTCTCTTGAGTCATTGGTGCTTCTGTTTCATCATTTATTCTTTAGCAAAAATGAGGCCAGATTCCTCCATGAGCCCTCTTCTTCCAGAAGGAAAACATGTCTGGTGAAAGATGTGGAAGCCGGTATTACTCTGAGTTGTTCTGGTGGATCCCTTTAATGTCAACTGACGTGGATGAGAAGAGCTTTGATTACAGTGGCAATTAATGATGATTTGAACATTTTAATAATTTAAAGAACAGTAGGCACCCTGCACAACCTAAGCACCTCTCTCTCCTGGACCATGAAATCTGGTGACCTGGCTCTTTCAGTACATGGCTTGTTATGCATGTTTCAGCCCTAGTGACAACAGTACCAAGTGGTTGCTGTACAGAAAGGAATTCTGTTTGGGTCATTTTAATGCATCTCTTATTTGCATTTTTTTCTTATAGGTTATTCTTCAGGAAAAAATGGTTATTTCTTTGAACTCATGCCTGGGCTTTATCTGTTTATTGTTATGCCACTGGATTGGGACAGCATCACCTCTGAATCTTGAAGACCCTAATGTGTGTAGCCACTGGGAAAGGTAATAATACTGGAAGTAGCTTTAGAAATAATAGCTGACAATTTCCTTTATATACTATGATGTATAAAACTGGCATTGGGGAAGAGATTGTGAAATTACTTTCATGTAAAAATCATTAGTTATATCTAATAAATTGGGTAATATTACTCACCTTGGTTGTATAACATACATATCATGTGGAAAAAAAACCTTGGTATATCTGATTTTAATGCAGGTGCAATTATAAGATTCAGGGAAAACATTAATAGTTCAACTAAAATACTCTCCCTAAGGTTCTTATGCCTGCTGTGCATCTATTTGCAGTGATTTGGGAGAGCTGGACTTTAGGGTGAGAACCAGTGAGTGAGCAGTGGAAGGCAGGATGGAATAATGTACTAAATTATTGAAATATATGGGATACAAAAATTTTGCTGTGGATAGCTTGAAAATGGAGACCTGATTTTTGGAGGAACTGGCAAAGCTGCATGGAGGTAGTATCCCCTGAGATGTTCTTGAAGAACTAATAAGATGAGTGGAGAGCAGTGGTTGGAAGGGATTCTAGAAATGGAAGTTACTTGAAACCAGAGCCACGCGGACCACTGAGGTCTGTGCACAACCAGACCAGAGTCAGTGCAGTGCTGGAGGAGGGTAAGATTGGGCAGGTTATGTGAAGGCAGATGACTTGGTGCCCAGAGCAATTTGCAGTGGGAAATACAGAGGAGGTACAAAACAATGGGTCATCCTCAGGGATCTTACAGTCCCTACTGGAACACAAAAATAGCACAAACCCAGCTAGTGATATTGCTCTAATGTGCGACTTGCCTTCCTAAGAAACTATCTTCATTCAGAAATAACCCTGTAAGTGCAAGTGTTTCAAACCAATAGAAGGTATTAAGTACTAGAGAGTAGTACATATTTTTAATAGCTGTGAGTAAAATTATGTCAAACTCTTGGCCTATTTTTCCTATCTCCCTCAGCACCGTGACAGCAAACCACAGAGTACACATTCTAATGACATTTGTCACCTACTGTTAGGATGTACAAAACCCAGAGCCTCTCAAGAACAGCCGGGATGTTATTGTAGGGGCACGCTAGTTCCTCACTCACAGCATTATTTTTTGGTGAGGGCTTGTCCCACCTCTATTTATAGTATTATAATCAGGGTTACGAAAACATAATTACCTGGTCAATCAATGTAGTTATATGTCATCATGAAACTAAAGTGTAGAGAAAATATGTGTATGTAATAAAGTTCTTTACATATGTGGTATTAACTGCATTATACAGAATTTAAGGGAAGAAACCTCTTGTTAATTGTATTTATAATCTTTACAGCACCTCCCATAAAATACTTTACCAAGAAAGTACATAATCAATATTTACTGAAATAATAAAAGTGAATCAGTGACTGCATGGAAGGCACTGATTCACTTTTATTATTTCAGATTTAGAAAAGGGAGAGACCAATTGTGGTTGAACTTGGAGGATGATAGCTTTGGGGTGGGAGGAAAAGTCAAATTTGTGAGGTGCTGTGAAATAAGAATCAACAGATCTTGATAATACATTGACTGTAAGATGTGAAAGAGGCAGAAAAGGCCAGGATTTGTAACCTGCTGTGTGAAAGAATAGAGGTGTCACTGCACTAATGGAAATACAAAAGAAAGAGAGTTGATTTGAGAGGGAATGGGTTAGTGTGGTTTTGCCAGGATGTGTTCATAAAATCAGTTTGGAATATGGGCGTGGAAGCATTTGGGAATATAGATTTGCAAGTACCCAGCATGATGAGATCTGAACAGATGGACTCTCTGAGAGAAAGACTATAAGAGAGAAAATCCAAGGCTTCAGATCATCCCGTACCCACTCGTAAACACACATTCTGTCCTGATTCCTTGCTCGACATTTGACCAAAGCTGCCAGGATATAACCACATCCTTTTGTTCACCACCAATACCCACCGTCTAGAACATCGCTTTCCATGTGGCATATGCACAACAAATAATTGTTGAACGAGTGAGCCCACCTTCTGATAGGAAATGAAATAACCAAATATGGACATCAGGTGGGGATGGGGCATGGAGAGTGAGAAAGACAGATGAGGGAACATTCATCTCTAAACCTTATATAAACCCGCAGTTGCACAACAGCTAAAACACTCACTGACGGGGAGGGAAATTGAGTGTGGACAAATAGGGAAATGATGGAGAATTTTTCTTGACTGTATTTTTTTTTCTATGTACTGCTGGGAAGAAGGATTGACAGCTACAGTCTCTTATTGGTAAATTTTTTGTTATAAGCCTTGATAATGATTCCTAGAGAAAAGATCAAAGAAAGTAGAATTGTTTTGCAAGAACAGGGAAAGGTGTAGCAAGATAAATTAACATGACCAAATAAAGGTGCAAGTGACAGTTTCTCTTGTATTTTCAAAAACTGAAATGGGCTTGAATTGAAACGGGGAGAGGAAGATTAGCTCCAAAGACATAATTTCAGTAGCAGGGCTGAGGAGGGCTCATTTTAGGCTCTCCTTATACTAAAAAGCACCTGTATGCAGTGGTTCAGAGCCGTGGCAAGGCCTGGAGCCTTAATGTTCAGAGGGTGGTCTGTGGAGCTGTGGAGTGAGTGTGTTAGAATGCAGACTCCCAGGCCCTACCCCAGACCTACTGACCCAGAATCTGCATGTTAATAAGATCTCTGGGGGATTTCTCTGCACATTCAAATTTGAGAAACACTGAATTAAACTACTTCTATCATTGCCTTCTATCTTCGTTCCCATTGAGATCTGAATATTTATTTCAAATCAAGATGTGCCTTGCTATATATAATGCAGTAATTGTGATTCTAAAAAATCGTACAGAAAATGAAATGAAAGAAAATCAAATCATTAAAAATACACAAGGGGAGTTTGTCATTAAAGGAATTCTACATAGTGTCCTTTTGCAGATGAGTAGTTCTGTGAATCATCTCTTCCTTCTCCCCATCCCCTTTCTCTGTACTGTGAATTTCAGCTCTTCCATGTAGTGGGGTTTCTTCTAAAGAAAGGAAGATTAGCTGAAGAGAAGCCTGTTTTTGCCCAAACTCTCAATTACTAACGCAGAAGTGGTAGTAATTGAATCAGCAGTCCTGAAGCGAGCAGAGATAAGAAATGATGATTATTACGATATCTGATTAAAGTAACAAGATAATTTAGGCAGGTAAATGTAATTAACCACTTTGGAATGTGTCCAAGTGATGATGGCTTTTTTCTGCCCCCTGTTCTTTGACCCCCTGTAAATTAAATCTTGCTGTGGTTTCTCCCCAGATAATACTTAATAGGTTAAAATCAGAGTGATGATATGTTTCCAGTGTGTTTGAGAAGATTAAACAAACAAGCAGGAAATAGGAGTTTTTCATCTCAGTGCTGAAAATAGTGCAGATTGGGACCAGATTCCTTTTACACCACAGTTTGCTGTTCACTGTCTGCTTTTGAAGCTCTGAATGTTCTATAGTGACACTTGGGAGGGGACAGAGGAGTGGGACGATGTCTGAGGGTCCTGGTGTTAGTGCTGACTCTAGACTGACTCACCAGTATTGCTTATTTGTGATGAAAACAGGATTGGACTGGACAGTTGAGAAGGTGTCTTCCTGCTCTGTGACTCCAAGAGCAGCTGCTGATGAATGTGGAGGTGTGGACTGTTAGCAAAGGAGCTAATTAAGTTCAAACAGCAGCCCAGGTACTGGCCAAAGCAGCAGTGATACCGAACTGATGAGGCAGGGCAGGCCCATTCTTGAAGACGTTTCCCTTTGTGATGCAAACATACAGCTTCTAGAAAGTGGGCCCCTCAAAAAGTGACAACTTAATTGTCTAATGATAGGCGGACATTGAGCAAATTAGGTGTAGTTACTTACAGAGTATTTGGCAGTCAGAATTTGAGGACTATTCACTAACATGGAAAAATGCTTATGATATACCCTTAAGTTAAAAAAAGTAGGTTTCAAAAGTATGTGCATGGCATGATTGTAATAATATAAACATTTTTTAAAACGCCCAAACTAAAAACTGAAAACCCATAGAGACTGTAAAGAAACACGGTAAAATGCTATTTGTGGTTACATAAGAGTTATGAAGTTTTCTCTCCTTAAAAAAATTGTTTTCCAAATTTTGTAGTGTGAGTATAATACTTTTAAAAATGAAAGAACAAAAAAGGAGAGAGAAACTGTATAGAAAAGAAAAAGAATGTATAAAAACAACACAATATAAAAGAAATTTGGGTTGAAAGGCTTAGCACCCTTCTCCTATAAACTTAAGTGGAAGCCTCAGTTTCTGATGAATGTGGAAAGTAATTTATATTCAGTTAGTTCTGAATTGGGTTTGAGTGACAAAATAATTTTAATGCAAAGAGTCAAGATTGAGCAGAGATACTAAAACATAGTGAATTTTGTACTCCTATTTTTCCCAAACTGTATACATTTCTCCATGAAAGCCGTATCATGTGATGCTTAACATTCATGTATTGGCCTCTCGCATTAGATTGAAAACTCTTTGAGGGCAGGAAGTGTATGGAAGTTGTCTAGTAAATGTTTGTTGAATTAGAATCCTAAATGTCGATTACCCTTTTATAGAAAGGAGCTTTTTAATATCCTAAAACCAGTGAGGCATCCTGCAGATGTACGCTATTGGTGAGCAGCAAGGGGCAGGAAGAGGAAATTCATGTACTTTAACATTTCTCCTTATTTAAGGAATCTTGCAGTTTGCAAGAAATTAATGGAAACACTTTTCATGTTTGCTTGTGGGATCAGTACCCCGACTCACATTAAAGAGAATTGGCTGGGATCCATTGGCCATGATCACTTTTGCTAAGGCATTCAGACCTGAACATCACAGCATGGACTTTGAAATTTTCTGGGAACTCAATTTCAGGTTTAGTTCCAACAAACTAATTTAGTTCAGCTAAATTAGTACTGTAGAGCCTGGTAGAATAAGTTTTTTCACGCAACTGGCATTACTTTAGAGTGGTTTCTTTTTCTTTCCTATGGCACATGTGGGAAGTTGCTCTGTTTTGCTCGTAAGTGCTGTTAGAACTGTACCTGTATAGCTGTTCCATACACATAGGACCCTCATTTGCTTTGCTTTCCACTAGCAATAGAACAGAGATATAATGCTGCGGGCCTCAAGATTCAGTTATTTACCAGCACCTAGGTAAGAAGAAGAAAATATTGGTAAAGAAGCCTTAGAATTTGCATTAACTTGAACCTCAGGCCACTGCTAGGGGTCTGAAGAAAATAGTAATAGTTTAATGGAGTATGTCATTCCAAGAACATTCATATTTTAGCAGAACTCTCTTGCTTTACCCAAAAGGAGTTATATCACAGCAGGTACGCAGTTTCTCACTCTACCCTCATCTGAATCTGTTTCTGCAGGTAGCAGCAGGTATCACCTGTTGGGATAGAAATAGCTGTCTAAACCGTGTGTTAGAAATCAGGGTGCCAAATGGGAAGGGATCTCTAACACCATCTCTGACCCCCTTATTTTAAGATGTGATAATCAAGACTCAGGGAAGTTGAGGTTACCTGCTGAAGGTCACCCAGTTTCTCAGTGTCAGATCAGAATTATAACCCTGCCTTCTTCTAACCCAGTGATCTTTTCAATAGAGTCTGTTTTTTCTGCCTAACATCTGTGGAAGATCCCTAAATTTACCCAGAAATGAAATTGCAATATTCCAAAGAATGAAATACACAAAAAAGTGAATACTATGATTATTTCATGAATATTCTATTGAAGCCTCTCTACAAAATGACTACCAGAAACCAGCTGCAGAAAAAGAATTCATTGTTTGTAAGGCTAGTGCCACATAGCTTTTAAAATCAGAAGCCTCTGCCCTTGTCTGACCTGAATTCTTCATGTCAAAATTTCAATCTCATTTCTCTTGTATCTTCTCTAGGTGATAGTTACTACTAGTGAACTCAGGCTATTGATTTGCAGCAAGTGAGTCAGTAACTATGGCCCATTTTGTTTGTTAGTGTGAATTGAAGATTTTAGTGGAAATCTTTAAGAGATTTAAAGCAAATAGAATAAATTGTTGGAAAAGAAGATTGTCCAGATATTCTTTTTTTTTTTTTTTTTTTTTTTTTTTTTTTTTTTTTTCCATGTCCGGCAACGGATCGCAAACCTCAGTGTTGCCCCCGTACCGGACCGGGGACCGGCAACAGGATCGCAAGCCTCGGCGTCGCTCCCGCGCCTCGCTCAGCCAGTGAGCGGGAACCGGTCTGTACGTGGGATCCGAACCCTCGGACGGGAGCGCCGCCGCGCTTCCCAAGCAGTGCACTATCCAGTGCGCCACCGGGCCGGCCCCAATGTCCAGATATTCTTGTAGGCAGACACTTAACTCTTGAGCAAGTAATAGATTATTTAAGATTATGAGGTATGGAATTGAACATTAAATGTTCCTTATATTAAATGGATATTTTCTACCCACATTCTTAGGGCCATAAGATGGCATGTTTTTACTCTAACAGGAAGCTGTTAGTGAAAATGTATTGGAAAACAGACTGTTTAGGTAGCAACAAGCTGTTGGTATGACTATTTCAGGATAGTTATCTCAGCCATATGTTTAGAATTAGTTTTAAAGACTTCTTTGTGGTTTTTATTTAGACTTTTATGCAGTAGTTCCCTTTATCTACAGGAGATATATTTCAAGACCCCCAGTAGATGCCTGAAACCATGGATAGTACCGAACCCTATATATACTATATTATTTCCTATAGATGCATATCTATGATAAAGTTAGTTTATAAATTAGGCACGGGAAGAGATTAACAATAATAACTATTAATAAAATAATTATAACAATATTCTCTTATAAAAGTTATGTGAATGTGGTCTCTTTCTCTCTCTCGCACCATTGTGCTGGACTCACCTATTTTAGGACTGCAGCTAAAGGGAACTACTGTACATTCTTCCACTGCCTGAGAAGTAAGATAGGCACATAAAAGCAAATTATTCCAAGTTCTGACCAGAGAAATATGTTTTTTCCAACTTTTCAGAATCAGTAGCAAATGTACTGCATTATCAATACTTGAATTGTCTCTTTGCTGGTTAGCCTTATTATTTGCATGCCGACTTAAAGTGAAAACTTTTTGTGAAAGGTCTTTGTTATCCCTGGAGCCCTGATACAAGGAGAGGAGAGGTAATTAAATACAGAAAAATATAGAGTGATATGTTTTAAAGCTTGGGAATATTGGGGTTTATAGTGAATGGTAAAAGAGAATTTCCTTTGAAATTTATGGCACTTGGAAATAATATTGTTAATGTTGGTCCATTTGGGTTCCAGTCCAAATAGAAACCTATAACAAGATGCAGATTCTCTGTTAAAAGTCAGTATGGAGTTTCAAATGAAGATAATTTAGCCTACAGTTGTTTCTTAGTACATAGCATATCATTCATGTAAAGAAGAGAAATACTGATTCCTGTTTTTCCTTTTTCTTTTCAGCTACTCGGTGACTGTGCAAGAGTCATACCCACATCCCTTTGATCAAATTTACTACACTAGCTGCACTGACATCCTGAACTGGTTTAAATGTACACGGCACAGGTAATAGAATGTAGATAGGAGCTTTTTATATCTCTCAGATATATTTATGAGATTGCCTAACTGGGAATGGAGTCTGATACCATCAGAGATATTAATTATCAAGAAAGTGCATCTCTTTATTCAGTGGATAATTACTGAGGGCTTGCTACTGTCCTAGCCCTTTTCCAGATCACAGGGGATATAGAAAAGCAGAGAAGTAATCTATACCCTGAAGGAGCTTACAGTCTTAACTATGGAGAAAATGTCTGCTGTTTATCATCATTTGGTTAGCAATAATTTACCTAGCTTCTGTGTCATGCATTAACTGGGGGAGACTCTCTTAAATATGGACATCAGCTGATATCAGGAAACTCATATCAACGTATGTTTCTAATTGAAAATCTGACTCAATCCAGGATAACAAATTTGACCCTTAAGTAAAACAAGCCATATTTTTTCCTATAAATGTGAACAGAGAAACAAAACCAAAATATTAAGTATTAATGTTAATATAGAAGGGAAGCCTGATACCCTAGTTTTAGTAAAGTATTAGTAAAGTATTTATAGCTATACAACTTATGGGTTGAGCAGGGCACTTGCTGAGCAGGTTGAGAGGGACATACTGCACTAAATGATATTATAATCAATGTCATTTCTTCACACAACCTGTCCTTGACCACTCTATCTAAACTAGAATTCTCTTCCTGTCACATTCTGTTCACTGAGTCAAGCTTTTTCTTCACAATATTTAATCATTACCTGCTATGATATGATCTACTTATTTGTTTAATGTGTGTCTTAAATAAATTCTATCAGATCTGTCTTCCCCAGTAAAACGTAAATGAATGATGTTTGAGTTAAATGGAAATGTCTTTTGTCTATTAGCCTTCTATTTTACAGTGGGATGAGATAGATTTTTAAAGGAATTCTGTGAATTCTTCCTTTAAAACATATGTAAATGAATGATACCTTGATGGGTATCATATATAAAATTAATCAATACTTTTCAATACATCTCAAGATAAGTAAAAGTAGGGAAATCATAAAATGTCTGATCTCTCAAAATAAAGTATAGGTCGATGTAAATAGGGAGTCTTAACATATTCTCAGCAAATTGATAAGTTAGCATAATATTGATCAAGACATATATTTCATGTTTCTTCTTATTTTGAAGTACTTTGCTTTTTATTATATTTAATTGCACTCTTTTATTAAAATAGAAATTATTTCTCATCAAATTGTAGGTCAAAAGAACTAATCATGTGATTTTTCCCTTTATATAGAATCAGTTATCGGACAGCCTATCGACATGGGGAAAAAACCATGTATAGGCGCAAATCCCAGTGTTGTCCTGGATTTTATGAAAGCGGGGAAATGTGTGTTCGTAAGTAAGACTTTATCCCTTTGAAGTTAACTTGTTTTTCCCATGGCTGGTTTGCTTCTGTTAATGGCAGCTGAGATGGAGGCCTGGAGAGATGGGATATCTTTGAACATTCCCTTTCACTCTTGGCTACTTTCTTGCCCTGTGTAATGAGGGAAGCATTAACTCTGTTCCCCTGTCCTATCAAAAGTCTCCAAATGAATGTTGCTTGAGAGGAAAACAGCTGTTACAGAAAGATGATTCAAGGCCGGATGTGGCAGAGTTAATTGCAATTCTTCGATAAATGTCTCACTGGAAAGTGGTCAGGAGTCATTGGACTAAGGTCACAGAAGAGAACAGAGACGTAACTTTCCCGCAGCTGACCTGAGTCAACTTCTGAGAGGCCAGTATGTTCTTTTCTGGTGCATAAAACAATGAGGCTCATCGAATGTAGGGGAGTTTTCACACTAAGAAATGACAAGTTTGGGTCAGAAGGTAGAACTTTTTCATTGTTATTTCCCTCTTCTGTTTCCTCCTGTCTCACCAATTTGTGCTGAAATATTTTGAGAGAAGTTTGGTATTTTATGATACACTTCAGAGAATCCTAGAATATCATGTGGGATGCAGTTTGCAATTGAGGTTTGTTACTATTGTGTGTAGGTCACTTAGAAGAGAGATCATTAGAAGCTATTCTATTCAAGCATTTTGGCTCAACACACAGCTAGAGGTGCACCTCTGCTTTCTGAGTGGAGGCACTGATGTTGAGTAGTATGGAGACAAGGTTCTGCTGTAATTTGGAGGCACGAGGAATGACTGGACAGATCTGAGTTTAGGAATCTGCAGAGACGGGTGATAGCTCTGGCCCTGCTGTCACACAGCTGGGTGGCCTCAGCATGTTATTATTCTTTGAGGTTCCTTTGCTGTCTAATAGAGGGAGGACTTGGATCAGAACATGTTTCATCTTCTTACCACGCCTGGATTCTATTCTTTATGCAGACAGGGGCAGCTCTTCAACTTTGATTCAGAACCAGGGCTATATATGAGTATGATAATAAATGTCATAGAAAAAAATTAAAATATGTAACTAAACACAAAGAAGAAAATAAAAATATGCTGTGAATGTCTTTCCTGGTTAGTAAAAATATTTCTGTAAATATTGCAAATGTTAGTATATTATTGCATTATAGGTATTTATTTAATCTCAACTGTTTATATGATTTCCAAGTTTTACCTATTGTGAACTACTCTAAAAGACATCATTGTGGTTAGATAGTTGTTCATACCCTTAAGTAAGTGAGTACATATTTCTAAGACTTTTGGTATCTTTCCAATTTGTAAACCCACCAGCAGTAAATGAGAATCCTTTTTGCTTACACTCTGAGCCAATTTTCCCTTTGCTAATTTTTTTCTTAATTTGCATCTCTTTTATTAATAATGATGCTGAATAAGAAAAATTACATGTTTATAATCAAACATCTTAGAGAATAATCATGAACTGATCTCAGTGGCCTGGGCTGATGGGAAATTTTCAAAAGAAAGCAGCACTGAGCACACACAAGGTGGAGGGTGGGGAGGCCTGCCACTTCCCAGGGGCCTCAGATGAGATTGTCTTGGTGCCCTTTCCAGGGTTTAACCTCACAAGCTCCATTTTCAACACAATCAGAGAGTACTTTTATCTCCCAGGATATATTTCTATTCACCCAGATCATAGGACTTATATATAAAGCCAGGATGCTATTTCATTAAGTTACACAGAGCTTGGAGAGGGGTTCTTTGTCTTCTGGCCATACCTTCTCTCCTTGAAGGCCTGGCATGTGGGAAGCTAGATTTTACTGGCAAGCTGGTGCAGAGCGTGTGGATCCAAGCAAGGTCAGTTAGAGAGAGGGTTTCAGCCTTCCGTAGCCCAACACCTCTTTCATGTTATTCAATAGTGCAGCCCTTCTTAGAAAGGTAGGCAATTCCACTAGCACTGTCATGCCTAAAATTACATTGCTAAAAATAACTTTTATCTCCCACTAGACAGCTTGCAAGGTATCCCCTGGACTGCTTAGATGGACACCTCTAGTGTTTGCCTATAAAATTCTCCTTTTTCTAGGCCTTTTTGGCTGACCAACTGCCCCTGGAGACTGAAACATTTTTCCTATAGATATGTTAATATATTTAATCAGCTTACTGTCTGGTCTCACTAGCCTGGGAGCTTGGTCTCTTTAAGGGTATCTTGCATCTCTCCACTCTGATGTCTTGATTTCATTTCTTAACCCCCAGAGATGATTAAGCTTCTCTTACTTTCTTGTTCTTGGGAATGCCTCCCAGTAACTCTTCTGCACGCTCGACAGCTGGCACTTGTGGATAGAGAAGGAAGAAAGGACACATGATTCTTGGTTCTGCTTTCACAATCTCGAGAGTGTCCCTGAAGTAAAAGAGCCCACCCTTTTTCTGATTTTAGATTTGTAATACATGTAGCTATTGTCAAAATGGAAATGCAGTCAAGTTTAAAGGTGGAATTATTTTTTATATTATAATTTAAAAAATTTTTTTATCTCAAACTACAAAGGCAATAAATTTTTGGTACACCAAGCCAGACCCCCCTGATATGCTAATTGCTATTTAGTATTTGTTAAATGTGAAGTTTATGGTGCCTCTGTGTGTGGTGGGGGATGGGTACGTGTGCGTGTGCACACACGTGTGCACAACACAGAAAAGCCTACTCAGAGGTTTACTTTCATTTTAATAATCAATATTTGATTTAGTATAGTCATAAATACAAAAACATAGTTGTTTCTTAAGCAAAATTTAGCTTACAGGTGTCTCATTCAACAGTCTAACAAGTTTTAACAAACACATTAAGAGGCTTTGACTAATGTTTTATAAACTTAAACACCTTTGAGTTTTTAAAATGGAATTTGTACACTTAATAAATTTTATTTTTATTTTAAGTAATTCAGCTTCCAGGCTGACAAACCTTCCCATATACCTGAGTAATATTTATAAATCTAACAAATTCAACTTATAAATAAGGCGAACTCTTAAGTTCTCTTAAATGTTATAGTATTTGTAAGATTTCAATTTTAAATAGCATTTTTCATCAATTATTTCACTACACATTTAAAAATAAAATTAGAAGGCTGACCATTTATTCTACAAACCACATTCTCTTAAATATCATAAGTATCTTCTTAAAACTAAAATTATGAACGCTACAGATTTTGATTCTTACACATTTCTATACTTAATTCAAAATCTTCACAAGGTTGAAAGATAGTTACCCTCTAAGCAAATAATTATGTCATCTCATATTTTTTGTTTTATTTTTTAATATAATTTTGGTGGTTTCTTTTCAATTTGCTGACTTTTTTCTTGATATTTATTTATTCTTATTGTGGTAAAAAACATGTAACATTAAATTTACCATCTTAACCACTTTTAAGTGCACAGTTTGGAAGTGTTAAGTCTAGTCAATTGTTGTGCTACATATTTCTAGAACTTTAATTTGCAAAACTGAAACTCTATACTCATTTAAAACTAATTCTTCTCTCCTCCCCACAGCCCTTGGCAACCACCTTTCTACTTTCTCCTTCTATAATTTTGACTACTCTAGATACCTCATATGAGTGGAATCATGCAGTATTTGTCCTTTTGTGACTATCTTATTTTACTTAGCGTGATGTCCTTGAGGTTCATCCACGTTGTAGCATGTGACACAATTTCCTTCTTTTTAAAAACTGCGTAATAGGGAGCCGGCCGGTTACCTCAGTTGTTTACAGTGCAGCCTTGTAACACCACAGTCAAGGGTCCTGTTTCCCCCAGCAGCCAGCCACCAAACAAAGAAAACAAAACCAATACAAACTACATAATATTTCTTTGTGTTGTTTGCTGAGATTTTTAAATGCCAGAGAACATGGTCCTTTATTACTACCCTGATGGAGCATACTGAGCCCATCATCTGTTCTAGATGGTATATCCTGTATTGCTTAGACCTAAGTATTGTTTTTTAGTACTAGTTTCAAGTTAGATTAGAACCCTCAACCCAGTTGGCTACCCCAAATGATTGAATTTTGCATGTCTTTGGCCATTAACATAGGTAATTTTTTTTCCCTTTGCCTAACTATCATGATAACTGACAATCATGTGATCTTTTCATATAATTCTTATCTTCTATGACCGCACATCTGTTGTAAACATTAAAATGATATCCGATTGTATTTTGCAAACCTCGTGGCTATGTTTGGAAGTGAAGTCACAACCTCTCGTGCCATCTTGTTTGCCCTCTTCCACCTTAGCTTTGGGCTCATCCCATGTATAGTCTGAAGTTACTAGAGTGGCAGCTATGTGGTTCTTTCTCCAGGGTATTAATTTCCTCCACAATATCAGCAGTCTCCAGACAGGTTCCATCTTCCCATTGTCCCCACTTCCCCACCTGCCCACGATTCCATAAAGTTCTCTAATTTAGAATTTTGATCATGTTCCTAAAATGAAAAGATGCATAACACAATTGGCCTAAATGCATTGTGTTCCAAGATTGCCAGTTCATGTCTATTCCCTCCTGACTGTTCCCCTTCCTCCTTTCCTTCCTTCTCTCCTCTTCCTTTGCTTCTTTCCTTTTTCCCTTCTCTATAGATGTTACTATTGCTTTCAACCTGTTTGATGAAAAAATGGTACCTTGCTTTATTTTGCATTTCCTTAATTACTAGTGATGCTGTTCTCTTTAAAATTTTGTTTGTGAGCCATTTGCCTTTTGGCTTTAAGGAAAGGAGCAGGGTGGGAGATGAAGTGAGACTGCTTTATTCATCAGACAGCCCCAGAAACACATTAAAAACAACAGGTGGCAGTGGAAATGGAAGGAGAAACAGGCTGATTTGGGGGCTAGTAAAGGAGACAATTTGAGACTGAGAACTGACTAACAAATGCCCCAGGGGTCAAACCAGCAGGAGGCCCAGGCCCATCCAAGCCCCTGACCCTCATCGGCATCACGGGTGCTCATTCTCTCCTCACCCCCAAGTTCCACAGGGCCTCTTTTCCCAAGA